TCGAGTCCACACCTCAGAGGTGGGACAAAGTCATTGTTATGCAAGTCCAAGTCGAGTCTGAAGTCATCAAATTCATGACTCGAGTCTGACTCGAGTCCAAGTCACATGACTCGAGTCCACACCTCTGGTACCTAGATAGGTAGAGAAAGATATAACCTTGTTTAACTCTCACCAAACAAATTATGCTCATTCATAGTCTAAATAGAAATCTGGGCCACACTCATCATATTGGCACACGCAAGTTTATATATGCACGGGCGTGTACGAGATTTTCAGGGACTTACCGAGACTGATTGATGCACTCCCTTTTGGGCTCGGTGCTGGAGCAATTATTAATGCAAGCCCAGCGCAGAGGATCGAGGGAGGGGAACGAGGCAAATAAGGGGAAACGTTCCCATAAGGGGGGGGGGAGGGGGGTGGCGTTTCCCGAGATGGATGGCTCACACCTGCGCCGTTGTCTGTAAGAGAGCGCATCTGAAAGATACCGCAGACTGAGCCGTTCGTTCTGCGAGGTGGTCTCTCTCACTCTGTGCATGTGCGTGCTTTCTCTTGCCTGGAAGGAGCGGTGGTGTAGCGGTCAGCGCGCTGCACTATGGACCCGGCGGCCCGAATTCGATTCCCGCTCACGGCCAACACCGGTGACTTTTATCGGAACTGTTGCTGGGCTTCCCTTAGATCGACTCAACCTAAAATGAATACCTGGTGTGGTTTGTAAACATCGCCACTGGGGAGACAAAGGGGGCCGAGCGTGGAGCTGGTCGGACCCACACCCTCGTGTGCCATGCTGGCCTTCATTGGTGCTTACCCTGCAGCACTTTGCCCAACTGTCTGTTAAGGCTTTCGGGAGGATATTTGTCCTCTACCCTATTTACACTAAAAATGTGTGCTTTATCGGTTGTAAAAAAAAAACATGTTATTTATCTCTGCTTTGGCGGAATTGTGTATGAATCTCGCATCAAATAATTTTTTGTTGGACTGCGTATGAGCATAAACATTTGCACGTGAGTATTGATGCGTGAATTCGGGCATTGGATAAATGCATGCACGAATTACATGCAAACCGCGTGAATTAGATTATCGTACTTTCATAGCGTGCATGTTATATTAAAATAAACTTGGTGGTCAATGTCGTGCCAAAGCGAAGCCGTCACCATCAACTGAAATGTCCATTTGGCAGCTGGCTTCCGTCTTCCTTCGATATCCCAAGGGGTTGTTGGACCATCTGGAGATGCCCATCCAAACAAAAAAATGTGGCAATAAAATCACCATCATAATTTGCTTGAAATTTCTGTTTTGCTCGCGAATGCCACACCCTCAAAAGGCGATCATGCTTTGCACGTAACCGCAAGAGCAGTGTTTTGTTTCAACAAAAATGTATTTATCTGGACCTATTGCAATTGAGCGAGGAAATTAATGTGCCACTCCAAGTGATGTGGCACCGTTATTACGGCAATTTAGTTCGTTCTTCAAATGTCACATGCATGACATTATGAACTGGAAAACCCATTGGTTGTTTAGTTTAGCACAACCACATACTATGTTATGCAGTCATTTGTCAACAAAGGTACTTGTCATGTTGGTTATCACACGCACACAACACTTTCACATTACATGTGCTTATTTTATTTATTTATGTATGGTTACTGGCCTTTTGTTCGAACTTTTGAGGGCTTATTGCTTTTGTTTTTAAGGTTATTTTTGGCACAGCCTTGCTTGAGGTTAGTTCCATGACAAAAAGTTGCAATCACGCAGCCCGATTCATTGTTACAATAACGTTGCAAAAAAAGTAAAACAGTCATAAGAATACAATTTTGATTTAAATCTTTCGTGACTGCAGGAATTCATATTCTTGGTTCTTTCGGTAAAGTCACGTAGAAGGGAAATAATAAAGTAATGCAAATATAAAACAATATTGTTTAAAACAATAATAAAATAATAGTACAAATATAAAATAATAACTCAAATATAAAACAATATTGTTTAAAACAATATTGTTTTATATTTGTATTATTATATTATTTCCCTTCTACGTGACTTTACCGAAAGAACCAAGAATAGTCATAAGAATAGCAAGAACTAATTTAGAAGCATCCACCCTCTTTTTTTGCGGTAGAAGCTGTCAATGCAAATCTGTCTTTCTAGGACAGAGGTGGCAACCCTCATCCAACCAAGTCATAAATGAGGGTTTTCATAAATGTGTTATCCTCACTCAGATCACACTACAGCAGCATATTACTGAATAAGTTATTCCTATCCTGCTGCAGTAGATTATAAAACACTTGAAGAACGTTTGGTTATTAAATTTCGACCGCCGATGTAGGTATGAATATATAGAACAAATGCCATTTAATACATTTTGTGAGCATGTGTGTAAACCTCTGTGTACAGCACCTTCAATCCACCACACCATTAAACACACCTTGTAATTGTCCTATCGGCATTCGCCTGTGTCGATACATTTAAACCGAACTGGAACCACACGTTCCAACGTGTTTTCTAGCTCCCAATTCCATGAATGATGTTCCGTTTCTCATGTAATATTTATCTACATGCTATTTTCCCGAGTGTATTACTGCTGTTAGATATTACATTTCCTATTTAATATTTGAGGTGTGCTTTAAAATCCATCTGTTATTTGAAAAATTCGCTTTTAGCGTCAAGGTGATGTTTTTTTAGATCGCTCCTGAATGGAAAATTCGAAACGAGAATCCATACAAAAGATGCTGACTCTGCATCATTCCCATATGATTAGGCATCGTGTTTGGGCCGGGATTAGATATATTTTTAGGTTGTTGTTTCATTAGCCATGCTGGAAGATGATGTAGAGCTGCCATCGTATTTTTAAGCGTGTGTTGTGTACAGAACACAATCTCCGTTTAGGCTCTTCACATTGGTTTCTGCCATGTAAACGGAAATCCCATGCTCTGTTTCATTGGCCTCTGTGTTCAAATAATGGTGTGTGTGTGTTTTATGGCATGAGTGTACGGAGCGGTTGTGTATTGGTGAACGCCCTGTGCTACCAGCCTAGCAACCCGAATTCAAACCCCTCTTAGGGCCAACATCAGTGACAATTATTTGAACTGGGCCTCCCCTAGATCGACTCAGCCTCAAACGAGTACCTGGTGTGGTGTGTAAACATCGCCACTGGGGAGACAAAGGCGGCCGGGTCCGGTTCTGGCACGCACCTCCTCGTGCGCCGTGCCGGCCTTCATAGGTGCTCGCTAACGGCACTTGCCCTAGCACAGCACTTGCCCCAACAGTCTGTTGAGGCTAATCGGGACATCTTTGTCTTTATGTTGCGCGTCAGTACATGGCAAAGCACACACTATGGCCTGAAGACTGTCTCAGTCAAATTGGCACCGTGCTGTGTTCTATTTTCATGGCTTGCTCTAACATGGTAAACCATTACGCACTCGTGCTCCCACGCGCCCACAAATACAACAAAGACCACCCCCCCCCCCCTGTTCAGCATTCAGAGACTGTAAGGGCAAAATTTGTCAGCGAGCACCTATGAATGTCAACATGGCACGCACGCTTGTGGATGGCCAGCACCACGCCAGACAGCCAATTTTCTCCCCTTGTGGATTTTTACACATCAGAACCACGCACAGCAGTATTTGTCTAAGGACGAGTGGCCTGGGTGGGAGGCCCAGGAACCAGTTCAAATATTTGTCACTCTAATTGGCTTTGTGGGCGGGTCGCCGAATTCGTTACTCAGTGCGCTAACCACTGCGCCACCGCTCCCCACTCTCTCTCGAGCGCGCACACACACACGCACATGCCTAGCGGTTACACATTTTGCCCAGGCACGGAACAGGCGTGACACCGCTGCTGTCCTCGGAGCGTTTGATCCGCTCCATTGGCTCCACGAGTGCCATTTGCAAGAGACAAAGAAGCGAGATCGTTAGGAGCTGAATCAATGTTTCATGCACCTGTCGCCGCAGCAGAGACTGAGTGCCGCTCAGCCTGTCGCGCGCGTCTCGCCTGTTTTTGCTATTTCCACAACGATTAGCAATATCCTGGAAACTCACATCTTGCTCCGGTGGTCGGCCTTTGAAATGCCAACGGTAGTGCGAAGCCGTACGTATATCGCTCGCATCAATTGGCATTTTTCTAAGCACAGCCCTCAAATTGGGTCAGGGTTTTTTCGGGAGAAGTGCGCTGCTGCTATTAATATCTGCTGCTGCTGCATGCAGCCTATGGGAGTTTTTTTCGTGTGAATGTGTCACCTGCCGTCACTTGTGAGACGAACCGTTATGCGGCCACAGATGTGCCTGGCAATAAGTTGTCATTCACTCTGTCGGGAAGTGTTTTTTTTATCTCGCATCAGCCACGCGGTTGTGCATAGATGTTCACATTTCTGTCCGCAATTGGATATTTGCGCTACGCTGTATTTGAAAGACGTGCTACATGTCGTTTACACCATGTGACGTCCAGAATCTGAATCTTCATTTTTACTGGAGTAATCCGATGAGCTATGAAGCTCTTTAACGCAAGTCCAGTAATGTTCACAATTAAGCCAGCAACACACCTACTTTATAATATTACGTGCAACATACAAATACAATTGTGTACAGCACTTTGTCAATCCCCTGATGGATAAAATCCTCCCCCCCCCCTCCACCTTGTTATTCTTGGAGGTTCTTTGACCATACTTCACCAGGCGGGTCGTCAGTGCGAGCGATGGAGGAAGCCCCAGGATGGTTCAGATTTCATTCGCCACTGACATGAACAATGGTCAGATATCAAATTCGGATCATCAGGTTTATAGCGGTGTAGGTTAGCGTACTGCACTGTGCACTAAACCTTCACCGGCACTCACTGATCAGACTGGGGAAGTATAGTTGGTTGACTTGAAGGACGTGGCAGACCCATTCTGTTGTGGATTAATAATAAGTGCCATCTTAATTTACATTCTATACATAAAAAAATCCGCTAATCTATTGGACGTTACGCGTTCAGTAAAGCAGTTGAATAACCCTTTACGTTGCCAAATCGGTAACCAATAATGCCGAGGAACGAATGCAATAAACATTATTGACTTTCTCTGCACCTTTCAGAAGCGCGTATGTGTGGATGCCGTCTATTCACCGCCGGCTTCACTGAGTGCATTCGTAGTGTTTGTTAAAAGTGCACCATGGTGATGCCCGCAGTCGTCATGTAAACACAGCGGCACAGAGAGCGCTGGAGCTGACGCCGGGAGCTCAGGAACGATTTACTGCTTGCTGAAACAGGGCCCTCTTTACGAGCCGACTTTTATTTTAAAGGAGATCTTTCCTTGTTCCAGCAATCTTTCGACGCAAATCATGTTTTCCGTGCCATCGTACGTGGAGCGGAAAGGCTCACTCTACCTGAAATCGGACCACATGGCTTATAGCAGGCCCATCCTCATCTCCAACTGGTATGTGCTCTAACACGAATAGACAACGCTACACTTTGCCCAACGGGGCCAAATCTATCGTTTGGGCTTACTTCGAACTGCGATCTTTATTTCATGTCTATCAAGCAAGTAATACCACGATGGCGTGTTTAACAACAATAAAAGACAATAAAAGACCCAACATAAGCACGATACTCTCTGCTGGTTATTTGCTGTATTCCATTCTCAACATTGTTCTGCCATATCTCATATACTGTAAGCAAAACATCAATTCGATGGACCAGCAGGAACTGTCGTTGTTGAGCACAACACATGTGTCCGTACATATTTGCTTGTATAATATAGGCAAGGCCACCCAATGTACATACTACAAGCACCACACATTTAAATCTCGCTCCCTTTGCTCTTTCCCTTTCCATTTCAGCACTTAACCTCTTAGAATCCCTCTGTTGTCCGCCTTTAATTCACCACCTTCTTCTCTCACCGTCTGCATGACAACCACCGTTGCCTGTGCCCCCCCCCGACTCCGTCTTGTGCTTGCCAGGCACCAGGCGCGTGAGGCCGAGCCCAAGGATTACGACGTGTCACATTCCATGGGCAATCGCAGCATGCACCTCTCTACCTACAGACGCCTCGGCAACTCCTCCCACGAGGTCCGTGCGCGTGTGTGTGTGTGCTCGCGCCACACACCCCCCGTTGTATGATCCACGTTTAAGCTTCTTTGAAAAACACTGGTCAACACACTTTTTCTGGCATAAGGTATTCCAACGGTTTTAATGTAATTTTGGGGTGCTGATTCCAAATCTGGCATCAGTTTTTGTCTATCACATCAGGTTTTTGAGATATCAAATATTGCATTTTGTATAAAAACTGCAGAAGAGAAATATTAAATAAATGTAGATATCTACATAAAATTATATTATAAACACACTATCCTAAAAATACAGCACCATATTTTAACACTAAAGCAGTCACTGACTCGCAACAACTTGCAATCATAAGTGACAGAGTTAATTTCGGGTAAAATCAATGAAAATGGGGTATGCCGATAGCATACAATGAGATGTGATAGAGCAAATCTGAGATCAGATTTGGAATCGGCACACTGAAATTAGTCTAAAACAGCTGCAAAAGTCCAGGCCAGAAAAAAAAATTTTTTGTTGTTGACCAGTAAAATCGATCGAAACTAAAAGTGAACTCTTTTTTATTTAATTTTACCAGGTAAGGGCCCACTGAGCTATACAGCCCTTTTTTCAGAAGCAATCTGGTTATCACAAATGACAGCTTAACGAAGTGGCATCACGATGTAGAAACTTATAGCAGCCAAATACTCTAAAGCAGTAGTTCTTAATCTGAAGTGCACGCACCCCCTGGAGGTGCGAGATGCCCTTTCTAGGAGTGCGAGACATGGACAGATTTGTTTCGAAGGTAAATCATCGAAAAGACAAATTAAGCACGTGCACGTGATTGCAACTACTTGTTTCATCAAACCTATGTATTTATTAACATACATTTTTTTGTACGATTGAGAACCAAAGGGTTGCTGGTTGCAGTAAATATTAAGAACCACTGCTCTAAAGGCAGGTTTCAAAATGTGGAGTGGAAAATAAACCAGAGGACCCGGCTAAAAATCCACGCGACCACGGGGAGATCATGCCAACTCCAAATATACAGGCGTCAGGGGTGGGGGGGGTCGGGTTCGAGAAACCCCACGACCTTCAGTATACTGGGCGAGGGAGATAACATCTCGCTATCGTCGCGCCTCTGTGAGTGAGCAAAGGATTTTCAGAGAGAATTAGTGGCACTCTCTGCCACCCACTGCCCAGGGAGCTCTGTGCCTGGGCTGTTTATATCCCTGTTAGAGGGACCTTGCTTTAGGTGTGGGGGAGGCAGACACACACTCAGGGCGGTGTGGGCGGTGCGGCGGGAGGGTTGCATGACAGCGAACCCTAATCTAAATTTGGACACGTTTAAAGCTAAACAAAATTAATATCGGAATCATAGGCGACAGTTTGGCTTCTATATTTGAGCGGTGGTGGGGGTGTGTCGCTTTATCGCTCACACGAGGAATCGCGGGTGCATGCAATTCTAATAATTTAAACAAATCTTTATCGGAAACTACCGAATATAAATTAATTAAAGGGGTCCAAATTTTGACTTAAAACTTTCGTGACTGCAGGAATTAATATTCTTTGGTTCTTTCGGTTAAGTCACGTAGAATTTTTTTAAATAAGAATGAAAGTGATAAAAAAAACCACAACGTTTCGATCGCAACACAAGCGTTTGTTTATTTTCATTGTTTTTATTATTTTAATTTTTGCGATCGAAACGTCGTGCTATTTTGTATTTCTTTTTATTTAATGTTTTATTATTCTATTTTTCATTCACTTTATTTTTTTATTATTTTTCTTCGATCTACGTGACTTTACCGAAAGAACCAAAGCATATGAAGGTGTCCAGTTTGGGAGAGGCGTTGCCTCCCCCATGCCCCCCCCCCCCCCCGCAAACTCTGCCCATGATCGGGATGGTCCGCATTTGTCCATCGTGTGCGTACGGCTCGAGCTCTTGCACCCCCACCCCCCTCCCGTGTGTATATGAACATCATGGCTCTCGCATAATGTCCGTGATGCAGTCATTTTTAGTCCGTCGATGGTCGGCTCATCTCGACGAGCTGCACACGATGCACTCTTTAAAGTTGCATTTTTCATAACTGATTTTCTTATGCTAATGTTTGGCGTTTCGACATCGCGGAGTAGCACTGATTTAGGATTGATTGGTACCCCAGTCGCGGAGTTAAGTAACACCCCTGGAAAAAATCGTGTCCCCGAAATAAAATATTTAGTTGCCTCGGCCCATTTTGTATTGTTTAGTAACCCCAGGTTACCGCCATAAGGATCATATGCCGAGAGGCTGTGGTCGCTTGGCTTGACTGACAAACAGATGCACGGGGAGGGGGGGGTTGAGCATGCAGCAAGGTGTTGTCGTAACCTGTGTGTTGTGAGTTTAACACGTAGGCTTGTGTTGTCAATGGACTAAAGCTCCGAATAACGCTGTGTCCCAGCTGTTTACAAGGCAGGCACCCTGCCCTTTCCAAACCCCCCACCCCCCCACCCTCCCCATGGCTGACTGCAAGGATTTGTGCTCCAATTTTCACACCTTCGGTGGAGGAGGGAAGAGGGAGGGGGGGGGTCTGTGTTTGTAACCACTCTTCTTAACAGGATTGGAGAACGACGACGGGATCGCAGCTGGAACAGATTCTACTCCTCAAGCCCCGCGGGTCGTGGGGGACACAGACGCGTCCATTGACCGTGCAGAACCTCCCCGTGACAGAACATAAAAGGTGGGCCGTGTGCGCGCGTGTGTGTGCGTGTCCGTGTGTGTGCGTGTGTGTACGTGTGCGTGTGTGTGCGTGTATGTGCGTGTCCGTGTGTGTGCGTGTGTGTACGTGTGCGTGTGTGTGCGTGTATGTGCGTGTCCGTGTGTGTGCGTGTGTGTGCGCACGTGTGTGTGCGTGTCCGTGTGTGTGCGCGTGTGTGCGCGTGTCCGTGTGTGTGCGTGTCCGTGTGTGTGCGTGTGTGCGTGTCCGTGTGTGGGGTTGGATCCGTTTTTTTGGTTCTCGAATTGCTGTTGAGGCCATTTGGGGATCGAATGCCTCTGTTTGTGAACGTGATTGGACGTAGTTTTAAATGTACGGGGTGGACCAGATGTCTTGTTAACCACCCCCCTGCACCCCCCCCTCCCCCCAATTAATTGACCCCTAACATTTTTCTCACTTGCATTTTTTTTTCTGTTTTCGATAAACCTTACTTTTTCAAAATTATATGTTAAGTTTTAGAGAACTAAATGGGGGTCACAAGATATTTGGACCAGCCTTTGCAAGTGCATGATCATGATGGGCCTCGATATGTGATTACAAAAATGTATGTACTGTACTTCATTTGCATGGTGTAGGATGATAATTTGATCACGAAGGTTATAAACATGACGATATGTTGTGTAGTTTATCTACATCAGAACAAGAGCAATAGTTCAGGTAAAGGTGCAGTATGCAGTTGCCTGCTCACACCAATTATGGCAGATGTGCCTCCAGCAATATTTTAAACCTCGCTTGAAAACTCATTTCTTTTTAACTGCTTTTTGTGTTTTAGTTCGTTGTCCTTTCCCCGCACCTCCGGTTGCCACGGTTAGCTACGTACGGTGCAAAAGAAGTTCAACATACACTAAAGGGAGCCCCTCTAGAGGGTATTTGGCCTACTCTTCCGCGCTGCGTCAGACGTCTTGGATGAGCCGGCAGTACTCGCACTTTAGGCCAGCACACGCGACGTGGTGAGCGGCTAATAAAACCAAACGCACCGTTGAACAACGTTCACAGTTATGTATGTGTTGTTTTTAAAAAAAATCTAATATGTGGCTATAAATGTTATATTGGCAGGGACACCAACAGACCTAAGACTGGCGGTGGGGCAGTTTTGCCACGGTATCATCCCACCTACGACACTTACTTAACGTACGTAACATTGCCGAATGTTTGTGTCTCTACACGTAACAAATGACATATTGTTTACACTTCCCGTGAACCACAAGGCCTACTAGGGTAGGAGTGCATCATTTTCAGCCATCAGTAAGTGCTGTCCGTAAACCCAGACTCATTTCTGGGCAGTATTCAAGTTTTCAAGTTTCATTTATTTGGTATAGCCTTGTGAGCCATGCGGCTCTTAAGTCGGGTGCAACCGCAACAAACAAAATATAAACGGAGAACATCTTAAAGCGACGACGCGCAACAGAAACATCCTGGATAAACCAGCAAATCTTCCTTTAAAAAAAACGCTGTGTGCAAAAATCCCAGTATTAATGATTAGCGCCGATAGCTAATCATCAATACATGCGTACACACAGAATGAGACGATTTCCACCTGTGCACACCATGAAACATTTTATTTTCAACTGTGCAGCATTTTAAAGCAGTGGCTATTAACCTTTACTGCAGCTTTGCACCCCTTTGGTTCTCAATCGTATTTTAAAATATATATATAATGTTAATTAACATCGGAGGGGTTTGATGAATCAAAGTAGTTGTACTTACATGCCCGTGTTTAATTGGTGTTTTCGATGATTTACCTTCTAAAAACAAAAATCTGCCCGTGTCTCGCACCCCCAAAAAGGGCATCTCACACCACCCAGTGGGTGCAGCGTGCACCCCAGGCGACGAGCCACTGGTTTAAAGCATGGCCCTCTTCAAACGAGTAGCAACGGGAAGAAAAAAATACCTGAACTATGAATTGTGTTTTCGAACACGATTCATTCCGCGAATTAGGTGCCTTTCTCCCCCCCAGGGGTGCTTTCGGCGGCGCTCAAAAAATCTCCATTGTCACGTTTGTCACACTCGGGCGAAGCCCCGCGCGCCGCTGGTAGCGTCGCAGAGCTTGCCAGCTGCAAGTTCTCTTTGGGGAAGATTAGTGCCGAGGCGCGTCTCGCAGCGTGCTCAGTGCCCGAAGGGTGGCAAGGCCGAGAGAGAGAGAACGGAGAATGAAGAGAAGCTGCGTTAGGCGGCTGGACAGATGCCGGATTATCGTCGTAGCAAAAGTGGCAAATGCTACGGGCCCCGGCACTTTCAAGGGCCCCGCGCTAAATGATTTCAAGCTATCAATTCCAGTTCAGTGATTCTGAACTTGCTCTATTACTATAGTACTATACCACCGTCAACTTTTATGAACGATTGGGTGTTTAAGGTTAGCGATTTGTCGTAGTATCTGGCTGTATAGCAAATGAAAAAATACAATTACTTTGATATACAAGTTAAAACATTTGTGTTTTAATATTTACGTTTTTTAAAATTTAGGACCCCTTTATAACATATGCTACAGGCTCCTCACTAGCTTAATCCGGCACCGAGTAGGGCCCTGTGCTCCGTTGTGCATCTTGTCGGAGGTGGTGGTGGCGTTGTGCTCTCATCCGTTTTCCCCTCCGCTCTGCTTTTGTTGAACGTTGCCACGTCTAATAATTGGTTTTTTACCCTTCTATCTGGCAACAAAACTGACACCTTTTTTTACGAGGAGCCATGTTTGCATAGACCACAATACCTGCAGCCATAATGCAAAAAAAAACATAACTTTGATAATATATTGATTGGTCCACACCCGAGACAGCTTTCCTTAAAAGGTGTCAGTTTTGTTGCCAGATAGTAGGGTAAAAAAACGATTATATTTTTTTACTGGCAAATGAGGTTCCAATGGTGTAAGTTGCCACGTCTGTCCACAAATTGCACGAATGTCGCAGGCCAAGGCCGCAAGTTTTTGGCAAGTAACAACATGGCACCGTGTTGCAATTTCACAATTGTGCATGTAATTGAAAGCCATTTGTGCTAAATGCTGAAGCAAAGTTGTTTTGCGGGTACAGTGGAACCATTAATTACGGGAAGTTAATGTTTTTTCTCGACCGTTAAAATCGCAGAATTATTTAATGCATGACCATTACGACATTGACTGATAAATACAATATAAATGTATTGAGGTCATTGCCAATGTATAACATTTCATCTTCTCTATTGACTGTGTGTTCGTGGTGTACGCTTGTGTGGTTACCCAGGCGACTGAAAACGATCTATCAGGCTGACTACATCCCACCATACTCGCACATATCCAGCACAAGGGTAAGAAGACCCGCGTGACTTCATCGCAGCTGCAATGCTCACACATTTTATTCAAGCACATTTAAATAAACCCTGAGGCTTCATTAAACACATCCTTCTGCCTCGCAGTGAAATCCCCGCTGCAACATTACAGGCATGAACACGGCCACATACCACAGTATACAGAGACGAGAGAGAAACCGCGCATTTACATGAGTGCACATGCGGTGTGGAAACAGCACTGGAGAGACAAAGACGGCCTGGTCACATCATTCCCTCATTTGTAGTAATAATAATCTCAGTAGGTGCTCACTCATTATACTTGGACCTTATGCTTTATAAGGCCTAACAGGATGTATTGTCTCTGTGTATACACAGGCACACACACACACAAATACAATTGTTCACAAAATCTTAACGAACAAACTCGTGGATGTTTTAGAGGGGAACCGACTTCATATGAAGCTGGGTATAGCAATGGCTTTTCCACCATGACTACATACACAACATCAGTCATCACAGAAAAGGGAAATGAATATCAAATGTCATTATACCTGGATTTTACATATATATAAAATAAGGCACTTGATTCATTGGAACCAAAGCAGTCATACAAACTCTCACAACCAATGCATTCATAATATATCGACATTATTCTAACCATTTACCAAAAAGAGTTGCTAGATTAAGATTGCTCCGAGTCTACAAATCAGCAGATAAGTCAGGCAAGAAGTTACTCTTTCTCCAAGGTTATTTACAGGAACATGATCAGATATTGTGTGAAAATGAGATTGGAGAAATACAAGTTTAAGCTTACATGGATCATTTTCTTTTAGCTCTTTCACATTTAACAAACAGTGAAAGTTCGTTACTGGAAAAAATATTTTAAAACGTCACAAAGAAGGCTACAAAGTTAGTCTCGATAAATATGAGCAGAGAGTTTTGATATAAAGCTTTCGTGACTGCAGGGATTCATCTTCTTGGTTCTTTCGGTAAAGTCACGTAGAAGGGAAATAATAAATAATAAAAATAAATCATAATAAAATAATTCTCACGACGTTTCGGCCACAACGCAAGCAGCCGTCCTCAGGTGAAGAACAGGTTTGTCGGAAAGACAGCGTCTGAATGAGCACCACCAGGCTTGGCAGCGTATATTTAAGCTGGGTTGGAGGGGGAAGGGCGCCTTGACAAATGAATTTGCATATCAATAGGAATTTAGCATATTTATGGGAAATGCAGATATGGGATTAGTCACTACTTGTGAGCAGAGAGTTTGCAAATTATTGTGGGAGAGACGTAATACAACAAAATGTGCATAACTATGGCAGTTATTGAAGCTAGGTCAGGATCAAAATGATGATGCAAAGAGGTGAACATGCTTTTAAAAAATCTGGACTTAATAATGAAGAAAGTTTTCAATCAGTGCTTATATTACCCGCTGTAACAGCAACATGGGCACTGACAATGAAAATGGAACAAACGAGGAAGTGTGCAGAGATGCTCGCTAGAAAAATGAAACTGATAAAGAAAAAGTAAAGAGACGGGGAGACCGCCGCCGTTACGGAGTGACGAGATGAACGCACGTGCCGGGGAGTGCGATGGTTTGTGGGCATCACAGGGGACGATGAGTGATGGTGACGGCAGTTGGATACACAACAGCTGATGGTAGTGCCGATGCGACGGCGAGATTTTAAGCAACGCATGAGTTCGATTGACTTTGACGCACAAAGATGTGACTGGCGGTGAACTCTTGAGTATAAAATCTCATCCAGGTCAAAGCAGCCTCCCTTCTCCCGCTCAGAGGGACGAGTGCCAACACATGTAACAGTAAGGAAGGTGACCAGAGTCTGCGTGCCGTGCTCTAGCCTCAAATCAAGAGGAAATTGTTTTATCTGGCCCAGTGCCCAGAGAAACACAGACAGACACCACCCATGCAATTGCCCTGTGTCTGTGGGCTACGGCACTTTAGCTGAGTGCAGATGCCTGACCTTTGATAGCTGAGGATGTGTGCGCACAGTTACATGATTATTAATATGCCTGCCGGACTTTAACATACAATTCCTGATCTAACCGTTTATAGGCTATACGTGTATAATAATAAGAGTAATACGGTGTAAATACTATCTGGTTCTTTCGGTAAATTCACGTAGATAGAAAAAATAATAACACGACGTTTCGGTCACAACACAAATCAAGACCAATACAGTATAAATTGAGATTTTATTATAATGCCATTCAAAATCAAAGCGTCAGATGTTCAAACGAATATTGGCCAACGCACATATTCACGGGTAGTACAGATCCTGTGGCTTCAAGTCCACAATTCTTTGGTTGAACAGCACTGTCGCTCCGTAGGGTACATCAACCGACGCTAATTTCCCTTCAAGTGGTGTTTCTTACCAGGTGGTGATCGTTTTACTCGGCCTGCGGTGGCGATGAACTGAATCAACCTTGAAGCATGATCACCCGTTTAGAAGCACTGCTGCCTCGCCAGATGGGTTTCAATGTAGCCATATGGCGTGATCATCATCATCATAGTCGCGATGACATCACCGTTACTTTATTTGAGAAACGGATAGAGGAAGACACCTTTAAAATTCTGGCAAATCGCCTGATGAAGCTGGTTGTATATCACCAGCGAAACGTCCCGGTGCTATATTTTTAAATATTTACTCTCCAACACACCGGTGTGCTGAACTAGTAACTAATTGGGACCTTTTGTTTACGAGACATCTTACTGATTGGCTGTGTCGGGTGGTGGTGGATTACTGACACGTTTATATTTATGTGATCTAAGCCAAAAAAAACGTTATTATGAATCATCACGGTCATTGTCAGCAGCAAACGATCACTCCACTACTGGATGAAGACCTCCACAAGTTGCTGCCACTTCTTCATTTGACACTATGATTTTGAATGATGATAGTAATCATAAAAGCTATTTTGGTTTTGAAGCTTTCATGACTGCAGGAATTACTCTTTGGTTCTTTCGGTAAAGTCACGTAGAAAAAAAATGAAATAATATTTAATTTGCGTGACTTTACCAAAGAACCAAATAATAAAATCTATTCTTTTTTAATTTACTTAGCCTCACACGATCCTATATGCAGCGATACATTTTGCGATATTTGATATTATTTTATCATTGTTCCCATTTTAATACTGCGACGTGATTCGTGTTGCATTTTGTAAAAAAAATCAACATGGTTTGTCTTGTACGTAAAAAAAGAATGGTCCTTGTTATTGGAACGTGGAATTTGAGCTAAGCGTTCGAGGGCCATTGACGAAGATGAGCACCAGACAACGCTCACTTGAACGTGGAAACACTGACTCCTTTTATCGGTAGAAATGTAATTGATGAGTGGAGGTCGCACTTCGGATGCGCTTCTGCAGCCGTCTGGAACGCTCTTCCGATATTCGTAAGTTACTGGAGATATGGACTTTTAAATCATCTAGATTGAAAACTCATTGTCTAGAACGGCTTTTCGTGTTTAGTTTATTGTCCTTCCCCCTGCACCTCCGTTAAGCATGGTTAGCTACGTACGGTGCGAAATAAGTTCAACCATACACTACACTATACACTACATACTACACTACACACACAACGCTACGCACTACACTAAGCACTACGATACTAAATTGAATACTAATTTCTTTCGAACTGCTTCTTTGTGTTTATGTTATTGTCCTCCCACCCCCACCCCCCCCGTACGTCCAATGAGCGCGGTCAGCTACGTACGGTGCGAAAGAAGTACAACACTGCACGCACACACACACACATCCACGGCGCATTCCCATTGTCCGCGTGTTTCCGCCATTGATCCGCTGTTGACCGCTCGCAGGCTGGGCCGCCCTTCCCGCCGATTCTCTGGGGCTCGTACAGGAAGCCTCCCACCCAGTTCACGGCCACAGCCGCTGTCCACCCTCACTCTGGACAGAGCACGTGGCAGGACGAGCAAGACCCCGGCACCAACAACATCTACAACGTGAAGCGACGCTTCAGCGCCTGTGGATGACCAGATCGTAGGCAGGCCAATAGCCCCAGCTTCATCCCCCCCCCCCCACGGACGAAAAAAAACTGCATTCGAAAAAATAGACAAGTGTGGTGATCAATGCGCAGTATACGCTATTAAAGGGTCGATTTGCCAACACCAATTTGAGTGTAATTTAGAAGGGCACTTTGCACTAAGAAAGGCGTACGTTAAATACAATGTATTGATGTCGATATGATTTCACCTAGCCATCTGTGAATGGAGTCCCTAAAATAAGTCAATTATAACATTTTCACAGACTCGAAGGTTATATTTTAAATCACAAAGCCCTTAGAGAATTCCTTACATAAAATGTAATTTAATGATGTTGACTAATCCCTTCATATGCATTTCTAATTATGTTCTTAAATCTTTATTTGCTGATCCTTCAGAATATTCTGGTTTCTATCATTTATTTTTATTGATTTTAAATGCTATTGAGATGCCTTGTGGTTGACTTTGTTGTTGGAAGTAAAGGAGAGTTTATCCGAATGTGAACGCATACATTTGTTGCCTCTAACAATAACATCCCTTCATCAGCTTTTTCTGATCAATATTGTATGTGGGTTCGCGGTTTATGAAAACAACGATGAACTGATGGCTAGAACAATCAGCACATGCTCCTGGAATTTTCCCATATTCCCATATATACTGTGTGTTGAAAGTGAATCAGTAAGAGGGCCCTTTTAATAATAAATAGACATCCCGTGAAATTCACGAGTTTTAATGATCCACTGCATAATCTACACTTCCCGGCAATAAAGTAGTTACATTTTCGATCTTGTCTAAGATCCATTAAAAAAAAAGTGCATAACATTTAATTTGGCAGGCTCAACTCGGAGCTAAACCAGCATCTGCGTGAAGCAGCATGGCGCATTTACAATTTATGTTGATGAAGTGCCAGTTTTAACAAAATAATTAGGATTAAAATTGTATTTCTCTCGCAATCTGGATTTGTGTTCTCAAGGCAGAATAATAAATGAGATTTAATAATAGAGTATTCATGATCATTTAGGCCGGTCTTTAACAAATGCCTAATATGAATTGCCTAATAGTACATATACCCTCTGGTGTGTTTTTTTTTACAGTTATCTCCCTACACAAGATATCTTTATTTGTTTATAGAAAATAGACATAAATGTTGTTCTATTCATACTTTATCCTGAGCCAATATTTGCATATTTTATTAAGTTCCACGATAATTTCTGAATAACATTTTGATCAGTATAATAATTCAAATGTATAATACGCATTCCATCCTAGATGATTTCAATGCACAATGCAGGAAACACAAACAGAACCAGGGGCAACCGACCAAACTAAAGAGGGAAGGATCACTTTAAAGAGATGGGGGTTTTAAAGCAGACTTAAATATATCTACCGACTCTGATTTCTTGATTTCAAGTGACCAGGCGTTCCATAGCTTGGGTGCCACGTTAACAAAAGCCCAATTATCAAAAGAACGCCACCTAGACCTGGGAGTGCTGAGCAGTTGTAGTTCAGAATATCTCGAGGACCTTGATGGAATATATAAATGTATTAGTTCCTGCAAGTAATGTGGGGTGATCCCCTTCAAAGCCTTATAGGTTAATAGCAGTATCTTAAAATCCACTCGGAATTTGACCAGTAGCCAATGAAGGGATACGAAGACTGGTGTAATGTGTTCACGGAATGGTGAACGTCTAGGCACTAGCAGATGCATTCTGAACAAGCTGGAGTCTGCTCTGTACTTTGCTCGGAATCCCAACCAGTGAGGCGTTGCAGTAATTGAGTCGGGACAACACAAAAGCATGGACCAGTCTCTCCAAATCAGCAGGTGACACGAAGCGATGCATTCTGGCAATATTGCTTAGGTGAAAAAAGGACATTTTTACCACCATAGATATATGTGCCTCAAAGGATAATGACTGGTCAAACAAAACACTAAGGGTTCTGACCTCCCGTGTGGGACTGACAGCGTGACCGTCCATCAACATGACCATGCCATCAGCAAATCTGAATGGTTCAATGTATTTTAAAGATTGAGCCGAATTAAAAAGATTAAATAAATAGGTGGGTGAGAGTGAATGGGGTTACTTTTGGAAAACGGTACTTGATCATGAAAAGCAACACGCCAAAATGTGCCTATATAAGATGTGTATTCGGTGCATGTCACCTGCCATGACATGGTACGGAAACGTGGACATTGGTCAAGAATGGAAGTTGAGAAGTGCTCAACGAATCGTGTGTGAGGAGCATCCTTGAAGTCGCACCGGGAGAGACGAAGAAACTCGCGCACAAGGTAGAGACATCGCAGTGGCCGTTAAGAAAAGCAAGTGGGCTTGGGTAGGACACATCACCGGCAGGGATGATGATGATGGATGACCTGAGACTAACGATGAAGAAGTCACCCCAAGGGAGGGGACGCGCTCGAGGTGATGCCCACCACATAGAGATGGAGCAATGAAATCAGCTCACGTGCAGGAGCTAGTAGAATCGTTATCACAAGACCTGGGATGGCGACAGCTGGAGGAGGCCTTCATCTAGCAGTGGATAGATAATGGCTATGGTGTTGTTGATAATGATAAATAATCATGGGGGGGGGGGGGTGGCTTACTGGGTCTCACGACTCTTGTTTTTTACGTCGGCAGATTTGGCGTTTCACATCTGGAGGAGGGAAACTTGAGAGCCTGGAGAAAACGTGTAAAACGATGGGGATCGCACGCAGCTTATGCACAGACAGATGAGAAACCCATCAACCGAGAGTTGTATTGCATGCACCACCGTCATCTCAGTCAGCGATCCCATATCACCTGGGTCTGTCCCATGACCCCCTGCTGCCGAGGTCCCCCACGACACTGCACAGAGCCTCGAAGTGCACGTGGCACGGCACAAGCGCCTTTGTGATTTCACTGCCGCTTCGTAGCAAATGTTATCTGTTGTTGTTGACATTGCTGCAGTATTGTTATTGTTTGAAGGGAAATAATAAAATAATAAAATAAAACATAATACTATATATTATTATATTATTTAGCTTTATTTTTATTATTTAATTGTTTTATTTTTATTATTTTATTATAATAAAATAATAAAAATAAAACATAATAAAATATATTATATTATTATATATATATAATATTTTATTATGTTTTATTTTTATTATTTTATTATTTCCCTTCTACGTGACTTTACCGAAAGAACCAAGAAGATGAATCCCTGCAGTCACGAAAGCTTTAAATCGAATTTATGTAGCTCTTTTTCTGAAGCGACCTGGCCACAAATGATCGCTCGACAAAGTGGCTTATCGCGTGGAAATTAATCGCAGCCAAATACTCTGAACGCACCTTTCTAAATGTGGAAGGAAAAACCGGAGGACCCACACAATCACGGAGTGAGAGAGAGAGAACATGCAAACTCCAAATATACATCAGGCGTCAGGGTTGGGATCGAACCCACGACCTCCTGCATACCAGGTGAGGAAGTTAGCATTTGGGTACTCGGCACATAAAGCTCACACAAAAGTCTCTTGATTTCATATACTTGGACTCTCACCTATCACTGTTCTTTAACATCATCGTAGATCTTCAGCAGTTGGTTATATATTACAGCACCCTCGAAAAGGCAATGAGCATTTCATTTATAAACACGAATAATTTTAACTCCTCTTCTTAAATTAATTTCTACGTATCTACATATATTTTTTTATAATTATATCACATATTAGTGATGCTGTGTTTCTAAGCCAGATGGTTCAACTTTCTGCTTCACGGCACGTTATGCATGCACGGTATACAGATGCATTTGTATTTTAGGTGCATTTTGAGACCCAATGCTGGATAACACATTTACTCGAATGTATGTCAAACTATAATATGAAATGGCAAATACTCATAGCTGCATTGTTTCGGATTTAAAAAAAGCCCCGTGCTTTAAAAAATTTTACACGAAAGGCGTAAATGTAGCTATATACATTTACATTGCACTGGTTGTGTTTATGCAGCTGTTGTTGGTTTGCCAAAATAATTAATTATACTTGAACACTGCTTGGTCTTTTATAAAAAAAAGAAATTTAACGTCACGGGGTGGGGGCGGGGGTGGACATTTGGTATGAGAAATGTGGGTAAAACATCTATATATATCGGGCACATATAGACTCACTGTTTTGTCTCGCAAGAGAATGTCCAAAAAAAATCGACGGGCCAATAGGTGCCCATACACAGCCTCTCAGCCTGCCACCAAAACATCACAAACTATGGTGCCTCTTTGCGCAAACATTTTAACCGCATATCACCAAACAACTTGTACGCGGCTCATATGCCGCTAGCTTTCCACACGGTTTGGTCTTTACAGGACCTTACTCATAGGGCGCTATCAGGGCGTCACGGTGGCGAGGTGTTTACTCCCTCGCCTGGTATGCAGGAGGTCGTGGGTGCGATCCCGATCCTGACCCTGACGCTGCCTGTATAGTATTTGGAGTGTGCGTGTCTCTCTCCACGTGGTCGCGTGGATCTTCCTTCGGTTCCTCAGGTTTTTACCTTCACATTCAGAAACGTGCATTTGGAGTTTTTGGCTGCGATACATTGCCACGTGATAAGCCACCTTCGTTGAGCTATCATTTGTGATAGGTCGCTTCTAAAAAATTAACCCGTTAAAACAAAGTTTTTCACTATAAATCCTTTATATGCGTGGCGGCTAGAGTCCTCTCGTCCTCTGGCTTGAGATGGCTGCCACCTATGGGTCAGATGATTGCCTGCCACCATTAAGCAATTGGTAATTAAATATATTTTTTTAAGCCTGACCTGGTAAAATAAAAAAGTGTCAGTTGTTTTGTTTAAATGCGCGTCTCAAACCATACTTGTATAATTGAATCCACTTCTAGCATTTCATCTTGGGATGTGTTTTGTTAAATTCGCAGCACCCTTAGCGATATGGTGTCCGCGTGTGCTCTTTTGTAAATGTTGTCACAGTTAGGGTGACTGGTTCGGATAATTAGTGCTACACATTCATTTGGGTGTCCTGTTGTTTATGCATTTCACGTGAAGCTCTTAGCAAACCGAAGACAATATTAGCTATCAGATGTGATCAGTTTGACAGATATGCTCAGGGCACCTGTCTTATAAATAGTATATGTCCGAGCTAACAACGGGTCTACCTGCTTGAACGCCTCTTTGTAATGTAAGTTGATGGCAAAGCAGCGTGCAATGCCACGTTTTGCACGCTTCCAAGGAGTGCCTGCCGTATTTACTTAAGCGAATGCTGATCTCTTTGGTGTGACGTGACAAACACATGCACATATTTACATGCCTTTTCATTTGTTCCTCAATGTGAGCCCTCAGCTTTACATTAGTGTTTCTTCTAAAGATGTCATGCGCGTTTGATGCGATGCTGATTTTATTGCCGGAGGCAAGGCCATAATTAGAATATACATTGGGGGGGGGACACATCCCCCTAATATTCAAATATGCTCAAAATGTCCCTCCCAATATATTGCTATAAAAATAATTTCTATGCTATGTAAATAAA